TTGAAATTTATTCGATTTTCGCTACGGACCCAATATATTGCACTCTTTGTGATATAGATTAAAATAATATTGCTAATGCTATCTTGACTTTTAGGAAAACAAATCGTTGTGCGCGCGTAATTGTAATACATAATCCTGCAGGAAAAGGATTAATCTCGACGTTGTTTCGTGATTCATTAGAGGGGATCTCTAGCAGTCGAAAGTTTCGCGCGGCGAAGAAAAGAAAAATGAAACGCAGTCGCGCACGCGTTTACTTGTAACGCACCGCGGTTTGTGTGATGTAACTCTTAGATAACTCATAACTCTAGAGCTCATAATTCTTAGCGTGTACGGCGGGAAGCCGATTATCCGAAACGAACGTATAGGTACAGGAATTGAGGCGCGGGGAGAGACGCGATTTGTTCCAACCGAGCGCTTTTGCGGATAATCGATCGATGAGATGTTGTGCATCGACTGAAAAAAAGAAAAAAAAATGTTTGCGGCTGTGTTTTTCTCGACTATGCTATAGAAACCGGGGTGTATAAGTATACGGACGAGTTTAAGCTTCGTTAAAGCTTATGAATGCTTCCAAAGGCTTGAAACACACCGTGAGAAGACGCGATGTTAATACACGTTTGTACACGCCTGCATCTTGGACAAAACAGCCGGGATTCCTACTCGGGAAACCGGAAGAGAGACGCGTATCGATGACTACGCGAAAGCGGCACGAGTTATTAAGAAAATAAAACAAAATTTAATTATCTTTTCAAGTCAACGAAGAAACATTTGAAAAGGAGAGAAACATTTCTCGACACTCGATAAGAAGATTGAGAAAACTGTCGTTCGATAATGATTGATTACACTGATTGTGAGAGAAAAAATTGTTAACTAGACTAAATCGTTCAACTAATTCATATTTTGTTAATTCAATATATCAAAGTATTTAAATTAAATACAGCAAATTAAATTTAATTATCTTTTCAAGTCAATAAAGAGACATTTGAAAAGGACAAAATATTTTCGACACTCAATACAAATATTGAGAAAACTGTCGTTCGATAATGATTGATTACACTGATTGTGAGAGAAAAATTGTTAACTTGACTAAATTGTTCAACTAATTAATATTTTGTTAATTGAATATATTAAGTATTTAAATTAAATACAAAACAAATTAAATCTAGCATTACGTATTTTGATTTAAATATTGATATATGTTCAATTAACAAAATAATAATTAGTTTAACGATTTAGTCAAGTTAACAACTTTATTTTCTTAGTGTACAAATTTATGAGAATCGCAGAATTTAAATTCATCTCTGATAATTTTATTAGATTTTACTATAAACATTATTACACACTGAACAAAATGACCAAATTAATACATATTTAGTTCAATACTGCCAAATAAATCATTTGTTTTAAACAAATAAATATTATTAGTTTTAATAAATGATTCATGTGGCAGTATTGAAATATATACTTATTCGAACTAAATACATTTTTTTCAGTGCACAATTTAATATGCTTTATATTAGAAAACAAAATTATGGTTCAGAGTGATACTAATTGTGAGTTACTATTATCTTCCAATACTGATTGTAAGTTTTACAAAATTTGAATATTTTGCGTTTTTTGTAAAAATTTTTAATTAAAATTTCTACTAATTTTAACGACTCGTTCTAACGTTACTTTAATAAGTCTATTTAACGTTTTTCTTTTCCATATATTTTTTTCTTTGTGAAAAGCGCGACTTTTCTTTTCCTTTAAACTAGTATATTAACTTTTCTATCTCTTAGACTCAAAATAAAAAAGATTTATTAAACTTCTGAGATGATTTATGAGATGGTTTTGATTATAATTCGCGTCTCTTAATAATTTAATTCATAAAATGAGAAATTTATAAATTGGTGTTGTATATTTTTACAACACTTTAATCAATAAAATACTTTTCATCTTTGCAGGTATAAAATATTCATATTTACATACACATATTCATTATAAACACATCAGAAATATTGAAAATATTTCTAAAATATCTTATCGCAAAATGTTCTTGTAATATATAACGATTATCAAACACTGGACTAATCAATATTATACAATAAACACATATACAATACACAGTATATCCAAATAAGTGCGAAAAATTAAATTTTTATTTTTAAATTTTAGGCAAATTAAAAAAATGAAACTTGGATATTTTCCACTAAGAAAAAGAATACTTATTTTTTTTATCTCGCGCTGTTCTTTTTGAGGATACTTATTAATTAATATTTTTAAACAAATTACCTAATTTTTATTTCTCTCTTTAGAAAAATGTAACTCCTTGGGAAGAAATATAAAAGTACATGTTTATATAAGAAACCCTCCTTAATTTTCGGCAAAGAATCATCTAAAATTTTTCGCACTTATTCAGATACACCCTGTATATAATCAAGCGTTGAACAGAAAAAGAGGACGGTCAAAATTGAAAAAAGCACCGAGAGAATACGGCTAAAAAGAGAATAGATTTATGATACCGCGAAAATAGTTTATCTCGGATGCGCGCGAGAAGCCGTGTCAGACGACAACTGGCAGGCCGAGTAAAAACATGAAGCGAGTCGACCGACGACACGTTTGCTTTTGGCGTCTCTGCCGCCCCGCCGCTCGTTCAAGATGCGTCCAAACTGAATAAAAATGGCCACGCGCGTCTTAAATAAAAAAATAAAGATCCATACATCGTCTAATAAATTCACTCTTGTTTAATCGTAATAACGTCGATAGGACGCGAATATGGCGTAGCGATGTACAAATGTCAACTACGTCGATCCGTAACCGTCATATATATATACAATATCGTTCATAACGTTCGTTATATATATAATCGTATATATACGATGCGTAGTAACAAGTCTGGACGCACCTTTATGCTACGCCGCGCTTTGCGCGCGCGAGATGCACCGTCGGTAGGAGAAACGCCTACGTGTAAACACTCTTCTCCGTCTCTCCATCTTCTCTCTCTCTCTCTCTTTCTCTCCTTCGCTTTCTGTTATTCTATCTTGCCCTCCGCCAACTCCTCGGTCGTTTGCTCACGATCTATTTCGCTGACAATCACGAACGCGTATATGATCGTCCCGACGAGACCCGCTCCTCGGTCGTTACGAGAGAAGATCCGACTCGAGAGAGAGTCGATTCTCTCGCCTCGACTCGACTCGCTCGCTCTTGACAGCTCTCGAGAGAATCGGCTAGCGGGAAAACGACTCCGCGTACCCGATATACCACGCCATGTACGGCGACGCGATGACTGAGAGTGCGGTTGATTCCCCTGGACAAATTGTCACGTCGTCTTCCTCGGAGGAAAAAATGTCCGATCGCGAGCGATGGAAAATACGCGGGAGACGTGCACGCGCGCATAGCCTTGACGTCAACGTCGTCGTTGACGCGGCGGATCGAGCGACCGAGCGCGTGCGAGCGAGAGAGAGAAAGAGAGAGAGCGAGCGAGAGCGAGCGGCGGCGACGGCCGCGACGTATTCACGGCCTCCCAGGGATCCACGGGCTCGTCCGTTGATCGCGATCGTCCCGATATCGCGGATAAACGGTCGACAAGACGCGATATAAATATACACGGCGAGACGGACGCGTCCGTCCGGGCAGCCATTTGCTGTCGTGTGCTGACGGTAGGACGGAAATAAAAGGTATACGTACGAGAAACGCAGCACGGTAGCGACCCGCGGCCAACGGACACGCTCGTTTAGGGTGGGTCCGGCGATACGGACGTACCCGCGGAACTTGGGCGCGACGTCCCCTAGATCTGTCAACGCGACCCGCGAAAAATATTTGGATTTTTCTTACCTGGAAACGGGATCCGCTACGGCTAAAAGGATTCTTCAGCTTCGAATATCGCGACCCCACGCCACTCGTGCGGCATACGGCCAGTGTACGGGGAAAATCTCCCCGTTACCATTGGCTTATTTCAGATAAGCCGCAAAAAGTAAGCCAATCAGCGCCGACCTTTTATGTTTTGGTGCGTTTCTTTTTGCCCCCACCAAATAAAATGTCGGCTGGTCGAAAGGGCGGGAAAGTGCGTGCGCGCAAAGCGAATCGTTCCAGAAGGAATGCGAGCGTCCTCGTCGCCGTCGTCGTCGCCTCCCGGTGAACGGATCCAAACGACAATCGATTCCGCGCGTCCTCGCGCCCTCCGTTCCGCGATGCATCCTCACGATCGTCTACGCGACATCGTTTAGGTTAGGCGTCGTTTCTATCGAAGATGGCGCCACTCGACGCTGAGACGGATCGCGTCGCGCGACTCCGCGCAGGATCGCCAACGTGAAAAAAAACCAACGGCGCGCCGAGAAAACTCTTGCCGTCGTCTGCTCCCCGCCATTTTTGTCCAACAAATTACACGCGACTAATCATTTTTGTGCGAGCGTTTTTCGAGACGAAACCAAGAGAAGACGAGGAGAGAGTACACGTGGTTTTTGTTTAACAAAAATATATCGCGCGAGGGAATCTTTTTTCCCGCCATTTTTATTTTTACAATTTATTTAAATATTTTTTGTATATGTAAATGTTCAGCAAATTTATCTCGTCTTGAATAGAATTATTAATGGCGAATAGAATTACGAGAATTGCTCCGAAATGGATTAAGAACACAATCATGCATAGTGATATATTTTCGGTTTAAAGAATCGGCCATCCTGTTCCTAGACTATCTCTCTCCCTCTTTTTGACAGACGCGCGCGCGCGCGCGTATGTGACATGTCAAACTGATTTCGCATCTTTTATTGATTTTTAAATATTTTTACGTGATTTTTAGAATCGTTCCGAATCTGGAGGGGAGGCAGGCTAAACAACATATTATACTCTTTATGACTTTGGATTTTCCTCGAGCGCGCTCGACGCGCATGCGCGAAGAAAAAAACGCCGTTCCATTTGACACTTTCGGAATCATTGCGTCCTTGTTTGCGCAACGTCGAATAAAGGACGAACGACGTTCACGAGCGTCCCGAAACGTCTAGTGGAATGACGTCAAGTCTAGCAATGTGGCGAGGTACCCTCCTTCCTCGTCCCGCGAGCAAAACATGTTACGGGTCGTGGGGACGCGCAGTCGAAAACGATGTCGTCGTGCGTTCGGTCAAGTAAACAATAAAGATCGAACGAGACAGAAACTAGACTCTCTCGTGCATCAAATAATTTCACGCGAGTGCGTGCACGCCTTACGCGTGCATTATATTATTACGTGCGTTTTTGCAGAAACGGAGTAGCTCGAGCGTGAATTACATCTCGGCGCATATGTGTCGCGATTAAAATCGTCATACGTGCAAAGTTGCGGTGTCTGCTTTTGCCGGTCGAAGCTTTCCGCTGCATTTTTTTTTGCTCGATCGGGTTAAGTCGACGGTAGGGAAACGTTTGACGGGTTGTGTCGCGACCGGCGTGGGTGCTCGCGCGAAATCGCGTCCCTGCAGGGGACGGACGGAGGAAGAAGAAGAACAAGTCCGTCATCTGTAGAGGAGGCGGAAGAAGGGGAACGCGAACTCGGTTTGGCGAGCTAGGGGCCTCGGATTGATCGCGCGCGCGGAAGAGAATTATGAGCGAGCGACGTCGCTTGGCCTGTCATCGTCATCATCATCGTCGTCGTCGTCGTCCCGCGGCCGCCGCCGATTGTTCCGCGAGCGAGGAGGACTTTTGACACGAGCGCACCGTGCGCGCGAAGAATCATCATCGTCGTCGTCGTCGACGTCGACGCGGACGACACTTGGACCGCCGATAGAGCCCAGGCACCGAGACGAGAATCGTCATCCTCGCGAGCGAGGAGGCAGGATGAACGGCTTCAGCACCGGCGAGGAGGACTCCCGGGGTGCGGCGGATCAGATCTGCTGCCTCGTGGACGAGGGCGAGCGATGCTCCCGCCCGGCCGGCAATGCATCCTACAGCAAACGCATTCAAAAGACCGTCACTCAACGACGGCTCAAGCTTAATCTCGATAATATGGTACGTACAAAATTACGAGTATATCATGTTTATTTCGAATTATTGAAAATATATTTGCGATCATTTCAGCAATGTGTGAACAAAGTGATGTAATTTTATGTATGTACATTTCGAATAAACGCCGGATATACAATGACAAATCGAATTTTTACAATCTTGCATAATATACTTTCCAAATCAAATCAAAAGAAACACGTTGCTAAACTTATTATCAGATGTTTACTTTATAAGAGTATTTTTTTATAAATTTGAAGCTATCTGAATTTGATATTTTATACATAAATAACTAATTATTTAAATAGTTGAAATTGTAATAATTTAGATATTGAATCTCTGTATATAATTATTGTTATAAATAATGTACTCTTTTTCTTTTTTTTTACAGGCACGACATATATACATCTGTGATTATCACAAGCAAGTGATCCAATGTGCGAGGACTAAGCAGCAACAGCAACGTAGGCGCAAGGATTCCGAAGAAGACTCCGGTGAAACTGACAACGATCTCCCAGAAGTTGATCTCTTCCAATTGCAAGTCGGTACTTTGAGACGGTACAAAAGGCACTATAAGGTTCCCACACGTCCCGGTCTTAACAAAGCTCAGTTAGCAGATGTAAGTATACAATCTTTTGCCAATTTTATTTTCTCTGTCATCATTTTCCTATAATGTATATGAAATAATGATAAAATATAATCATAAGATATATCTAAAACATTGCGCTTTTTGAGTTATGTCATTGTTGCAGCAAGTGATACAAATTAAATTATTCATAAGAAATCTATCAAAATCAACATATGTACATATTATATTTTAGAGATGTTTGAAGTCTTATTTTGTGTGTGCATGCACTCTAAATATTTTCCAAATATTTATTTTTGATGTTATACAATATTTTTATGACAATAAATTTATGAATTGAATAAATTTTTGTTACAGACCCTCATGAAACATTTTAAGACCATCCCTGTAGTGGAGAAGGAAGCTCTAAGTTTTTTCATATATACTGTTAAGACTAATGCAAATAAATTAGATCAAAAGAATGGTTTAAGTAGTAGTGATACAACGTAGCGTGATCAGAAAATCTCCCATGTCGCTATTGTAATATTACAAATTAGTTATATGATAAGTATATCAATTTTTACTTGTTAATACATATATGTATTTTATAAGAAACTATGTATATAAAGTGTATATATATATGTATATATATTGTCAGTATATATGTATGTATATATATATATATATATGCATGCATTCTCCAATACATCAAAATCATTTACTATTTTATTTTACCTTTCTTTTATCGCACGTATCGCATAAATGTATGTAGATTTTACAACACGATATAAAAATGTGCATGTGGGTCGCTAGCGATTCCGTTTTAGAAATTGCAAGCGACAATATATTTTGGAAAAAATTTCACGAGAAGAGGTGCGTGCAATCATTACAAAATAAACGAGACTTCTAAGAAACCACAATGTGTTGTTTTTATATATATATCTTTACCTTTATTGAAAAAGAACAAAATACATAGAATATACGTTCCGTTGTTTCGGGATCTTGATATAAGTATCCCCGAAATATAGGTCTAAAGTCTATATATGAATATATGTGTACAAGATCAGGAGACAAGTTGTCAAGTGCACTGTACAATGCTCGCTTTTGCTCTCATAAGTTTTTACTCTTATAAGAAGCCGCAATATGCTTTTTGTGTCTTCTTTATACTTGTTCATTAGTAATGAACTTCATCATTATCATTATCGATTCGCTTTTATTACTTATATCTTTTGATCATTTTTATCCCTCTATAGGAATAAAAATAAGTAATTTATAAGAAATACATAAATTTTATGTATTAAAAATATTTACAGTGGGTATAGAGAAAATATTCCAAATGTATATTCTTCTTAAAATAAAATTATATACAAAAGAAGAACATTAGCACGATGCCTCAAATCTATAACTTTAAAAATTTTATATTATAAGTAAACAAAAATGATAGTTTAATGTTTATATATAACAATAATAATACAACACAAAAAATAAAAATTGCCTTGTCAAAGTGTTTTTGACTAATACTATTAAGCAACAGACAATTAAATTTTAATATTTCATTAGATTATAGCCTATAGTCTTTTGATAATGATTTGATACATTTTTCTATACTGTTTTTAAATATTTTTAAATATTCCTTAGACAATAGTTTTTTATCAAAAACTTTTTAATTTATTAATAAGTTGTAATGTAAAAAATTATTAAGAATTATGTTTTCATATTTCTTTAAATAAAATGAATAAAGATTGATCCACTTTCTTAAAAAATTTTCTAGTAAAGATATTTAGGCCAGTACACACATACACATACAAGCGCTGATATTTATGCAATAAAGTGGATGAAATATAGTTTCGATTTTTAGTCAGTTCTTTCTCAATCAAAATTTGATTACAATTTAGTAAAATATCAGTACTTAACAGCTTATATTTGTGCCTAAATATTCTTACTTGTTAGATCTATTCTTTACATTCATTTTTTTAATGTTGTGTTTAATTTTTGTTCTGTCTTAATAAACATTGTTTGTATTCAAAAACTATTATTATACTAATTCAACTAATCTAATGCATGCTTTTTTTACCCACTGTACATATCTTGAAATTATATAATTTAAATCAATGCTACATTGCAAAGCAAAATTATCCACCTCTTATAGCAAATTTTGCATACATTGTAGATTTGTCATGTAATAGAATTGGGTTACTTTTCTTTATCATATTCCAGCTCTTTCATATCTTAACGAAGTAATCTACTGCAACTTTATAATGCAATATAGGTGCATAGTGCAACATATACGCTTTTATTACGTTCTAATATTATCAGTATTATTATTATTATTGTTATTATTGTTTAATATTAATGTATCATAATAGTATAGCGCAGTTATTGTTACTTGAATTATTCTATTACTAAAACTTATACAGCAAAACTTGGATTATCCGAATACCGATTGACCGAATGTTTGATTACTCGAATAGTCAACAGGTTATATAAGTGTTCAGATAATCGAGGTTCGTACTTGCATTATATATCATCGGTATATTTATATATATTAGCACACGTTAGTCATGTATATGATATAGCGTCTGCCCGTGTGATGGAGAAATTCATTATAAAATGGAATTTGTTCTTCTCTGAATCTGGATGTTTTTTTTTCTTTTATCATCACAAGTATTATAATCGAATTTTTGCAAGTCAGTTGCTCTCTTTTGCGGACAATATCAACAGTGTACATAATATATACAACAATAGTAATACTATGTTAGTAATAATATCGTCCTGTACTCTTGCTGCGCTCCAGTGTTCCAATGAGAATCAGGTCATCGTTTTTATCTGTCTCGCATGCATCCAACTTATACAGTTCCAACTTCTTCTGGATCGTAATTTTTCACTCTCTTGTTGTACGCAATTATTTCCTATGTGAAAATGTTTCGTTAAATTTGCGGATGTTTCGTATAGACAATTGTAATTATCATATAGTGATAGAATCCTATCGAATATACTATAATTTTGAATATCTCAAACAAATTTTTTACAAATAACATACTCTTTCATATCTGGCTCTGTCCTCTTCTGCAATTGCCATGTATTTAGATTTTGTTTGCAGATCCGTGCTCATCCACAATTTTCCTAATTCCTTCGCAATGTCACCTACTCCCATCTCGGGATGCAATTCCCTCATCTTGCCACGTAGCTCTTGGCAAAAGTAAAAAAATGCAGATCTACAACATATTAAGACATTAGACATTAAGTATCTTAATTACATTGTACAAGCAGTACCATTTGATAATCTGTATTAATCAAAATATCCTAATTTATGTTTTTAAAAAATGCATCTAATAATTATTAAAACATGCATATAAAACTTAGGTATGTCTTAAATAAAATTCTGCCATTGAATGTTTCAATGTCGATTTAACATACAAAGCTCGTTTTGGAGCATCTTTGTCTCTATATCTCTTTGTTCCTCTACGTGTTGGTCTCTCTGGTTCCTCATGACCAGTATAATGTCTATCATAGTAATACATTTTCTTAGTGTTGCAATGCGCATTACCATCTTCCAGATGTACAATCTGCAAAATATATCGTTATTAATTTTAACTCTTCTATACAAGGCTTCATACATGTTTTAGTATTTTGATTGCAAAAGACATTTTTTATTTATATCAGCTAGACATGACTGTGTAAATTAACTAAAGTAATTCATCTTTCTCTCGAACTTACTGACTTTTTAAATATATATCTTTTCACATATTTAACTTATTATTACTAGCTATTGTTCTGATTGTTGTACCTCATTCTTCACTGGCACTGCATTGATGATAAAATTTTTACCCTGAGTATTGGACCACTTAGTTTGATTAGTGGAGACATTGGACACATTATTGGGTTTCATCACACCTTCCCCACCACATTCTACAAAAGAACAAAAAAAAATACAACTTATATATATATTTACATAATAATTTTGAGAATTTTTATATACATATAATGGTTATTACTATATACCTGGTGCCATATTAGTTTGGCCAACAATCATAGTGTCTCTCATTCCAGAATTTAAAGAGTTATCGCCAGTTTTCGTAAGATATACATTCTTTCTATCTGATGATTCCATGATTGCAATCTTTTTTGCTCTTGATCAAACTAATTCAAGCTTATATATCACTGTATCCAAAAAGCTATAGTCTTCTGCCAATTATAACAATATTCAATTATTCTTTATATATATATATATATATCAAGTAAAAAAGATTATGTGTGTGTGTATGGGAGGAGGGGGGGGTTGTACTAAAAATGACAACTCATCTTAAACTTGTCCAAAATTACCAATTTAATTATTTAATTGGTTCAACATAAATAATGAACATGTTTAAAATGTCAAAATATTTACATTATTTAATTAGACATGAAATAATAACAACAGAGGTAGAACAGTAGTAATAATAGTAGAGAAAAATTTTTTAAAATAGAAACTTAAGTATCTCTCTCTTTACTAATATATATTTCATTATAAAATGTTTTATATAATATACTATTTTATTATTATTCTTAAATAAGGAAATATTAACATAAATTTTTTTCAAACATTAGTTATGCAAAATTATACTCAAAAATTATTTATAAAAAAATGAATAAAATAAATTTGTTGAGTTGTTTTTTCCAGAGTTGTATATTTTCTTATGATTCTCTCAAAAAACTTTCAAGAATGCACTCGTTTCATTTTAACAACAGAGTCGGAAGAAAAAAAATACAAGTACAACCAAGAATAAGGCGAAACTATATCATCAATTTACGCGACGTCCTTCCTTCTTTTTACTGACGAAGAACATGTACAGAGAATTTCTACAAAAATCACAAGTACTAGCCGCGTCGAGTATTGGCGAATCGTTCGTTCGGTCAATCGCTTACCAGACGTCACAGACGCGACACTCGACTCGAAACGAAGCGGGCGGCAGCGGCGTAAAAACTGACGCGACGAAACTCGATGAACAGACAACTGTCAAACTCGTCGCGCGGATAACGTCATAAATAATAACCGGCACCCTGATTAAATCGATGCCTAAAAAACATATAAGCAATTATCGAGACGATGTAACTTATCAGTATCAGGAATCAAGAAGTAGCGATCGCGACCAATCGTCCGCTGTCGCGGAAAAAACGAGACGCGAGTCGATTCCGATCGGATGGTTTACCTGATCTGACACTTCTGACAGTCGTCTGGCGACGCCTCGCCGACTGTCAACGCGACGATATAACACAGAATGAAAAAAAAGGACCAGAACCCGATTTCGATGTAACAGTATGCGGTGTGTGACGTGTATATGTATATATATATATATATATATAGATATGTATATACATATATATATGTATATATATATCTATATATATATTGTTGCAAGTGTGTATGCGTCTGTGCACACGCACAGCCGCACGGACGTTTATCTTCACCTAGGAATCTGCTCATTCGCACGGGTATCGCATCTTCACGATTGCCGCGATGATCATTCGTGAACGAGGATTCCTTAAGGTAATATCCGCCCTTTAAACGCGCCTTCGTACGTATATAAACGCAGGCGCCCGATAATCGCGAGACAATTGACGCTTATGTATCGCGAACTCTGCTTCGCCGAGATAGCAGCGTTCGACTGTGTTTACGTCGTGAACATAGTCGGCCGACTCGGTGATATTTTCTCAAAGTCACAGAGCTATCCGGCAATGGAGCGCGCTGATTGGCTATCGGAGGATATGTAATTTCTGGAAACTCAACTATCTTTCATACTCGAAATATATAGCTTTATTTAGATCGGAAAATAAATAAATGACTAAATAAATGAATAAAATTAAAAATAAAAATAATGTAAAATTTTCGTAGAAAATTTTGGAAAATAAAACAATGTTTTTTGCAAAAATGCCTCTCGCCATCTTGGCGATTAAAGCGCCAATCAAAAATCATCATCACTTAATTTCTTAACTCTTTATACTCATAGACATATGTATTCATTTCAGTGACTCCAATTTCTTGGCGCCATTACACGATTCGAATCGCTTGGCTTCATCGATATTTCAAGTATGGATGTATTATTAATTTGCAACAAATGCTTCACTCCGATGTATAGGGGACAACGGCCTTTCAATATTACACAATGTAGTCACGTGTTTTGTATGAACTGCATAAAGCAAGGTAATTATATATAAATGAGAAAAATAAATAATGGCTCTCGAGGAGAAAGCAATGAGAAATCGATCAATTTTCCATGGTTATTATAATTTTTTAATCATTATATATTTTGTATTATAGTTGAAAAGCAGTACTGTTTTCAATGTAAATGTAACAATCCTGCGTATATGCCGTTAGAAGATGAGCTACTGATGCCTAAGAACATCTCGCTTTTCACACCTTTTACCGAGATTTTGGAAATACTATTAAACATGGAGATAACCCGAATAATCAGATAAAGATAACAATGCTGCGCTTTCTCTCACTTGTATTTATATATATCACTTTTATTTCGATATTTCTATATATATATATATATTTATATATTTATATATTATACATTTTCTTATATATATATACTTTCCTTTCTATATTTTTCTGCGTATATATATCTGTGAATTTAAATGACAATAATTAATATATTTTAAGGACAGCAAGTATAACATGTTGAAAGAGCATTATCTTATCGGGCGACGCAATATGAAAACATTGCTGAAGAAATATACGATTGCAAAGACTGAGAAGGGGAAGCTCCACGAGCAGCAGAAGCAGCTGATGCAAATGCAAAGTACTTCCCAATCTGCGCTGATGAGCTCCGGTCCTACGCATTCATTAAATAATTCACGGTAAAATACAAAGTGCGCGTATCGCATATATTTTTATTAAAGTAAAACGAAAATCAAAAGTTATTAATCAAAATTTATTACTATATATTTGTACGAAGGCGAAATAGCCTAATCTTACTAAAATAATTTTTTATTATTACTATATAATAATCTCTTTTGTTCTTGTTATTGTTTATAGATATTCCTCGGAATCGTTGCGTCGTCTGAAATTCTCCAACTTGAATTTATCTAATATGACAATAAATAATAATAAGCCTATACGATTCGCCGATTATCAAAAGAAACAGCGTAAAGTCGACGATACTAGATCTTCAAAATCGATCAAGTTCTTTTTTACACCAAGTACTCATTCGAATCATAATATTTAATGAATTAAATTCTTTACTTTATTACTTTTTTTCTATTTATAATATAATTATATATAACGTTATATCTTAAATTCGATCATTATATTATATTTTGTTCAAATACGTAAATTACACCAAGTACTCATTCGAATCATAATATTTAATGAATTAAATTCTTTACTTTATTACTTTTTTTCTATTTATATATAATTATATATATACGTTATATATCTTAAATTCGATCATCATATTATATTTTGTTCAAATACGTGAATTTTATAAAAATTATAAAATAATTGTAAATTACATATAATATATATTTTTCATAAATTTTATATTTTATAATTCACAAAAAAGTATAATTGACAAATATATATATATATAAATATATATAGTGTGCGATTAATTATGATAATTGTTTATAAAATTGTAGTTAAAAAAAATATATATATGTATATATAAATATTTTAATAATTTTATATTATCTATAACTCCCAATAATGATTTTTTTTATTAAAATATATATCCCTGGATATCTAGAAATAATTATATAAAATTCAAAAATATTGAAATTAAATTTAGATTGCAATTTTTTTACTAATAAAAGATGGGTGATAATTATCGTGTCATCGATAAAAATATTTGCCTATCAAATTCGTTTTGTGAATCGCGTTTCTATATTGACAAGTGTGTAGTAGCTACACTATTATCTGTACTTTCTGCACTTATAAATGAAATAGATACATAAAAGTATTGCGTATAGTCGGGTAGAAAAAGAGGAAAAGGATATATATAAGGAGAAAGACATACAGAAAAAGAAAAAAATACGAAAAACAAAGAAAGTGCAACTGAAGACCTATCTATAGACATATATTTGTTAAATGATAATTTTTACAAATTAATTAATAGATCGATTTATGTGATTTCAATGAAGGATTATGTTCGATATAAAATGTCTGTCAACATATTGATAGCATAGTATGTAATTCATATTACAAATCACATGCAATATCTGAAATATTTCGCATTATGGCAGAGACAATTAATAATGATAGTAATGCATCGAACATTGATAACAACATGACGAAAAATGTGCTCGATGATGTGCTTATTAATAATTTAAAGGAGGTAGGTAAATAATATCGTTAGTTATCTATATATAAGTTGTAGTGTGTTGAATAATATATAAAATTGACAAAAATAATATCAAGATTACCGGTATTAATTAATTCCCCAGATAGCCACAGTAATTATTATGACATCATTTTGATGTCAAAGTGCATCGTTTGCCATTTTGATGTCATAATAATTACTGTGGCTATCTGAGTCTTGTCATATGTGTTGGTCAAATAAAATATATATATATTTTTTTTTATTTCTTTTAAGATATATTGCTAATATTTTGTAGATAGTGTCTATGAAAACAGAAGACAGTATTTTGCAAGAGGTATCGGAACATATTAAACTTGCTACAAGATCAAACAATCAGCATGCGGATGGAATACAAAATAATATAGAACTAAGTGACAAAGAAGATGGGGAAATTGATGACAAGGATGAGGAGGATCACAAAGCAAAATTGCAAAAGCAAGTTGAAACTGGAGAGATCACTCCATTCGAAGCAGTATCTAAACAATCAATTTTACAGCAGAAAGAAAGGTAATGTCAAGGTTTATTTTAGTTTTGATACTTTAAATAAAATTTAATTCAATATATAATAATTAAGAGATCTCTATAGTTTTGAACAATTTAGTTTTCTAATTCATCTTAATAATTATGCAAGATTAATTTTTTTTTTTTATGTGTGACTTTATTAATTTAATTATTTAATTTAATGTAATACATGCATGATTTGATTTATTATTAATTTATTATTATGATTTTAATTTAAAAACTTAAATTTTTATTTAATTTTTATTTAATTTAGTTTATTATTAAAAGAATGAAAAACATTAATATAGAATAACAAATTATAGAATTATAGAATAGATTATAAAATAGAATATATAGAGAATAAAGTTTATTTTATTTTGTAGTTCTAGAAATACCAATAAGAACTCTCAATTGTTAGACCTCGAAAATACTTCAAGCAGCAAGCTACTCTTGCGGAGCGAAAAAGAAAATTAAAGAAAGTATCCAAGACTCCTTGTGACAAAGATCATTCAGTGTCAGCTAAGAAAGCAAAATTATCTGATACTGATGCAAGGACAAATAAAAAATATCAAAAATCTAAATCTGATGAAAATAACAAAGATAATGCATTACAAATTATAGACGAGCCAGCTTGTACAAGCATAACAAATAAAACTGTAGACAATAATTCTGGAAGCGAATATATTCCTAGTGATGACGATTCAGGTAATAATAATATATATGTTTATAAGAAAACTTAAAGAATATATATCTATATTTTTATATTAAAAGAATAAAATGTTTTTTAGATGTAGAAGATAAAGCATCATATATATCTAAAAAGAGAAAAACTAAATCAGGATATGTACGCACAAAGAGAAGTATGTATTTTTGCCTAAACAATTCATATTTCTCTTAACTTGATCTTTTTTTCTATTTTATTTCTTATTATGTAAATGTATCATTATCATTTTGTTACTTTTTTATTATATATATTATTCTTACATATTTTTTTAATTTCTAGCTCGAGACGACGGAGACAATAAAATATTTAAACAAAGGATGGAAACAAAAAGCTATCCCAAAGATGAAGCAATGCACAAAATTGATAATATCTTTAAAGTACCACAATGTATTTGGGAAAAATTGTACAGGTATAATACATATGTATATACATTAAGTAATTTTTGATATAAGTATTTAAAGTAGTTATATATATCCTTATTTGTATTTAAATAAATATAATAATTTACTTAATATTGGATTAATATATGATTAATGATTTTTGTTTGAATAATATAATTTTTCTAATTATAAATATTCTATTTATGCAGATACCAAAAGGTTGCGGTTAAATGGCTCTGGGAATTACATGGTCGTAAATTGGGTGGTTTAATAGGTGATGAGATGGGATTAGGAAAAACTGTCGAAGTTATTGCATTTCTTGCCGGTTTGGATTGTAGTGAATTACTCTCTCACAATGGAAGGTATTAAACGTATTTATCTTAATTATAATGTTTTTTTAAATTGTGTGTGTGTGTGTGTGTGTGTGTGTGTGTGTGTGTGTGTGTGTGTGATGTAAAATTTATACAAAATTTATAGAATATTTCTCGAAATTTTTTTTTTTTAATTATTGAAAAATATGATTTTCTCGAGAAAGAGAAAGAGAGGTACATGAGTATATTATTTTATTTTTTTTATTTATTTTTATAATTACATTTATATATAAAGTTGTATTGATATATAGGAAAAATAAATATTGTATGCATGATTGATGTATGTAGGTATAGAGGATTAGGACCGACTATAGTTGTATGTCCTGCTACTTTAATGGAACAGTGGGTGAAACATTTTCACGATTGGTGGCCTCTCTTTAGAGTCGTTGTGCTTCATCATTCTGGAGGTTACAATGGTAAGAATATAAAGTATGCACCAAGAGAGATTATCTTTATAACAATTGAGGAATTTGTTAATTAATTTTACTAAAAAATTTCCATAAAGTTCAATTGCCATTATGGAAAACAGTATTTGAGTAACAATGAAGTAATTGTAATACAAAAAGAAAATTTGGAAAAATTGTTTCAACTTTATGGTTTTTATATATACATATTAGTTGTATCATTATATTTATTTATGTTTATATTTATTATATGATACATAAATAATAATAGTCAATAGTGTATCATATTAAATATCATTCATGGTGTTCTGATCCAGGTGATCCAGAAAGTCTGATAGAATCCTTGCAAACTGGCGGAATACTCGTTACTTCTTACAATGGGGTTCTCAAACACAAAGATTTGCTCGTATCCAGTCAGTGGCATTATGTTATTCTCGATGAAGGCCACAAGATTCGTAATCCACAAGCAAAGGTGATTTAATTGTTAAAGTTGCGAGAAATTAATCAGTGTCCTTTTTTTTAGTTTTTTAATACATATATTTATTAATCATATTTGTTATTAGCCTATTTAACAAATAATTCAATTTATATAAGAGATAAGTATTGTATTAATTAAAATATGCTAGTGTTTAATATATAATTATAATAATTAATAGAACAAATGTTTTTGATTCGCAGGTGAGCCGTGCAGTAAAACGATTCTCGACACCGCATCGATTGCTATTGAGTGGTAGCCCAATGCAAAATTCCCTGAAGGAGCTGTGGTCCTTGTTCGATTTTATTTTACCTGGGAAATTGGGCACTCTGCCTGTATTCTTGGAACATTGCGCAGTTCCTATAACACGTGGTGGTTACGCGAACGCTACACCATTACAGGAAGCCACGGCTGTCCACGTAGCCACTATGTTGAAAGACGCCATCACGCCATACATGCTACGAAGAACAAAGAACGACGTAAAGCATCATCTCACTTTGCCAGAAAAAAATGAGCAGGTTGTGTTCTCCTTCTAAATTCAATATCGGCTTTTTATAAACATATGTTCTTGTTTGTTTAATTTTCTTCTAAATATCTTTAATTTTTTTCTTATTATACATTCTTTTTTGAAAGAATATATTGTAAACTTTGTTTTATCTTGATTGAACAGAAATAAATTAATTCTTTCTTTTTGCTTTCTCTTCCTCAGGTGTTATTCTGTAGCTTAACGGATGAGCAGAAAAAATTATATAAAAAGTATCTATGTTCGGAAAATGTATCCTTTATCTTGCATGAGAAAAATAATCATGAAAGTGGAAAATATAGAGCAAGATTTCTCGTCGCATTGTCAGAGTTGAGAAAGATATGCAATCATCCAGACTTGTTTTTGTATACCAGGGAACTCGTAAGATATTGTTAACCGTATTATGAAAATTAATTAATTTTTTATAACATTACAAATTTTACTTTTATTTAAGGATTCGGATGACGATATCACTTTATCAGAAGAACAATTAAAGAAATTTGGTTACTGGAAACGTGCTGGAAAAATGAATGTGGTTCGATCTCTCTTGAAAATTTGGCATAGACAACAACATAGGGTGTTACTTTTCACTCAGGGAAAACAGGTAAACAATATTTATATTACAGATTCCATAATTGAAAATTTTATTCGTCAGTTTTAAAAGTTAGAATGTTCATAGAGATAGAAAGACGTTTTTTTATAATCAAGTATCATGTCACATCAGAGCAACATGATTTTTTTTTTTTTACAAAAGCGTACAATTTTTCATGATTTTTTAAATGAAAGAGTTTAGAATACTAAATATATTATTAATTATATAAAAAATAGATTTATCACATCTTATATTTTTTTCTTTGCAGATGATGCAGATTTTGGAGTGTCTGTTGCAACGCGAGGGATATACCTATTTGAAAATGGATGGGACAACAGCGATGTCTCAACGACAACAAACGATTGACACATTTAATAATGTACGCATTAAATCGGTGGAAATATTAATTTATATGTAATGGAATGAAAAACCATTTCCATTATAATTCAAATTTTTTTTTTGTTTTTCGAAAAGGATTCGTCGTATTTCGTGTTTCTTCTGACCACGCGCGTAGGAGGCCTAGGAGTAAATTTGACTGGCGCGGATCGAGTAATCATTTATGATCCAGATTGGAATCCGGCTACGGATGCTCAAGCGAGGGAACGCGCGTGGAGAATAGGCCAGAATAAACAAGTTACTGTTTACAGACTAATTACTGCTGGTACGATTGAGGAAAAGGTTGGCAACAACAAATTATCATATTTTACGAATTGTAAAAATGTTGTACTAATTATAATTAAAATAATTTCAAACTTTTATATCTTTTGAAAACATTACTCCGTTATATATTATTCTTTATTGTATTATTTTATATGATAAGATTAAAAGCTTTTATTTTTTTCTTTTCAGATGTACCACAGACAGATCTTTAAATTATTACTTTCTAACAAAGTTCTTGATGAGCCACGCCAGCGCAGATTGTTTAAAACGACAGATTTGGTAGAATTATTTAATCTAAACGAGCCAATAGATGGCAAATCTTCTGAATCTGACAATTTATTTAGAGAATCCAAATTAACGCCTAAATCTGGCGGTTTTTCACTTAGTAAGATCGAAGAGATGAAAAAATTAGCTTCGGCTATTAGCAAGAAAATAAGCGCGAGCATAAAATCAACGTGCGACAAAAATAAAAATACAAATGATAGCACTTGCGAAGAAAAACAACACGATGAACAAAATAATAATTCGAAACACACCGAGACTCTTGCTACGAAAAACGATTCGTCTGTGGACCAAACCTCTTGCGATTCAATTAGCATCTCAAAATCTCCAGCCAGATATAATGAAGATTCAAATTTGGCTTCAAGTGCGGATATTGAAAGCATTAGCAATGTAGAGAATAAAAATATATTTAACGAGAATAATCAGCAAACTATACTTACAATAAAGTCTATCAATGATAATTCCATGGAAAAGAAAAATGAATCAGTTTTAAATGACGATAAAATTACCGCACATAATATATCGTCTGTTCGTAAACATAAGAAACATAAAAAAATTCACATTCGAGCAAGAAAAATATTTCTGCAATATTCGAAGGAGAACGTGTTTCTTGTTTAATAGGTCGTCGCCTAGGACATTCAAATGAAAAAAAAGAGTCAATTTCAACCACGGACGATGATTATGTGTTGAGAAAATTATTCACCAAATCAAGTAATTATTTATGTTTAATATTTTTTTGAGAGTTTACAAATTTAATTCATACTTTTATCTAATAGTTAAATGAATGTATTTAATGTAAATATTTAACATTTATATAGACATTAAATATTAATTATTGATTCAGCAAAATATTATAATACATATAAAATTCTGTATTTGTTTTAGCTGTCAGTTCTGCCTTTCAACACGAAACAGTATTATCGAATGCATATCGTAACAGCGATAGTGAGAATATGCTACAACGTTTTGCACGTGAAGAAGCACAAAAAAGCATGAATGTCATCCGTGAATCAGGGCAATTTTGTTGGAGGCCAGCGTAGAATAGACAAAAAATTGTAATGCCAACTCTGTGTATTTATTTTCTCGCTTTTTTCTATGCACTTGATTTTGTACGTATATGTATTTTTTATATTTCTTACAAAAAAAAGGCTGCGAAGAAACTGTAAATATATGACTTATAATAAGATTTATAATTTTTTTTCACAATTGTTTTGTACATGTGTTTTGTAGTAATTAACACAATATGTTTTGATAGAAAGTAAACTATTTTTTATAATAGTATAATATATTATAAAACTATGCTTGATATATAAATACATTTAATTATGAAAATATAAATAACATATATACATCTCTCTCAATGTTTTATTTATGTGCTTCAGAAAACAACTTAATCTCATCTCTATCTATAATTCTTCCTGCTTCTAAATTTCAATTTACATCTCATAATATGGATAATATAAAAAGTAAATAATCATTATAATAATTCATTTCTCAGGGTAAAAAGATATGTATATTGAGCAAGCATAAAGAAAAATAGAGTAAATTTTTGAGATTAAAATTTACAATATCAAATGTTTAATTTCTTTTTAATAACAGGACAGTGATTAGTCCAGTATTGTTAACTTACCTTACTCAGAATACATATTACAACAAAGATTATATTCCATCAAAATCGCAAAAATTTATCGAGATTGGGTCCAAACCTACCTAATGGATCTTCTGGAAACATGACATAATCCCCAACAAAAGTTGGCGCCAATAAACGATTTAATATTGTATCGCGCCATTCTGGCTTTTCCTTATACCAATCTCTAAACTGATCTGTAGAAACTACTATTCCTCCGCATGCTGTTGCGTATTCCAAAATGTATCTACAATAAAAGAAGCAAATTGGACTTTTCATTATGGCTTTAGAACATTTTAATATAAAAATAAACTTTTAAAGATATACATTATTTTTATGTAAAAGAGATAAATACGCAATAAAAAATAGACAAATATTTGTTGTAACTTAATATTACATAATTTTTTTGTAATATTAAATTGTTCTATGCAGAGTACAAGTATTGTAATTGACATTTTTGTAAAATATATATGTGTAATGAGTTTTATATTACACATGGTTATTTATAAAAAATAAAATAAATGATTTAAAATATCTTATGCATAGGTATATATATATATATATATATATATATATATGAGATTTTTCTATTTAGATATGTGACAAATTTACCTGTCATCATGAGGCGTAATTTGTCTGCCAGCAATTTTGCGACTAGGTGTAAAAACAACTATACCATTTTTATACCAATTTTCAAGTAATATATATTCTCTTTTTCGTATATATTGTGGTAAGAAAACTTTGACAATATGACCTCTTGTTGTAAAATAATCTACCACTAATTTGATGCCTTTAAGTGAGAATGTGCGATGATTTGTTTGACTAAAATAAAAAATAAAATATATTTTGCTTAAAATAGCAACTGAAATAAAATGTATATTATATTGCAAGTGTATAATTTTTGTAATCTTGTAGCTATTCACACATTTATGCTTAGGAAAATTTATCATTAAAATATATAGAAAATATAAGTGTAAAAAGATTAAGATCATACGCCATTGCAACATTGCATCCATCAACAATTATTTCTCTTAATTTATGACTTGAATCTCGACTACTTTGTTCATCAGATACAATTGTACTTCTTTCTTCTTCGCAGAATTGCGCATTAGACCGTGTACTGGATCGTATGCAACCTGAATTTTTGTTATTGGTATTATGCTTTTTTCGACTTTTGTTTGGTGACAATGTAAGTTCATTAAAATTGTGACACAGTTTTCGTCTCTTCGCTGCAGATTCTGTATCTGCCTTTAGTAATTCTAGATTCTTCAGATTTGGCCTTGTATCTATCACAAAATTTACTTCTTTATTTGATTTATTTTGAGAATACGTATTTTCCTTCTTTTTATTTCTAGAATTATTTCCCTTATTCAAGCTTGAGGAATATTTGAGAGAAGACCATAATTCAATTACATCGTCCTCTGTTTGCAATGGTGCTAAATATGACAAGTATTATTTTATAATAGTCAAATAAAATAAATTTTTCTATCAGTCTTTCTGCACAAAAAGAATTAATTTACCTATATTCTCACCATCCGTCGAAGAATATGCATTTGATGTTTTTCTAGCGAATAAATTTGATAATTTTTCTCTGTTTTGCCTAACAGAGTTTTGCAATTCTTTTGTTCTAGATTTTTGCTGCCAAGACAAGGATGGCGTAATCGGACTGCATTCAATGACACTGAGTGAAGAAGCGCTTTCTTCATCTTCTCCACTAGTTTCACTGTCATTTATAATGATTACACTGTTTCGCGAAGATTTTCTTCTTAAGGAGATTGCACTTTGTTCTTTCAACTTTCGCAACATCCCACGAGTCAATCTCTTCTCTCCATTAAAAAGGTCGATAAGTTTACCATCGTGCCTACAATCTTTCCTGCTAATACAATTTGATTGATAATATAATTATCAATCTTTGTTTTTGCATTGTTTAATACAAATTTAAATGCGTAAATCGTTACCTTTCCACGAAAGAACCGTTCAATGGACTTTCATAACATTGTGCTTCTCGACGTCTCTTTGTTCTAACATTAGTAGATTGAATATTACTCATCGTAAATTTAAACCTGGCGAAACAAATAAAAAGAAAATTCTTTGATAATCAAGATATTTATCAAAACGTAATAAAGATAAATATTGAATCCGTCCACGAGAACAACATATGCGTCTATCAGTCGTTAAGCTCTATCGGAAAGATTAGAGAGACATTTTCGAACTTGATCCGACAGTTGGTAAGTCAGCGCGCATGCGCGTGCGTTTGACAGATGGTAAGTCAGTGCTCCGCCACTAGAGGACGCCACCAGCGCGATTCAATAAACTGAGCGTGCGGGCGGTGTTCCGCGGAGCGTGACGAGTGATGCGAATGTGTAATATGTGTATGCGTGTATGTTTGTATTGGTGACATTATTAGAGTGACAGACACGGTGGAACGAACGACGGACGGCCCGCGATGAGTTTGACAGCGGTGGCGACCGACGCTAACAATAAGTGACACGCATCTCCGGCCGCGAAGAAAAAGCAGGAGAGAACCAGGCGAGCGATCGATGCGGCGAGAAATGCGGTCGAGAGGAGTCTTACAGCGATAGAAAAATACACGCTTCACCAGGGAATTCACGCGCGCCCGTTCGCTCCTTATTATGGCAGAATGGATGAACGCAAATTGCTGCCGTTGCTGATACTCTTCCTGGCAAGTAAGTACTTTGTCGAATTACAACTGCGAGAGAGAAAGAGAGAGGTGGAGATGGAGATAGAGATATATGCATCCGGGATTGAGGAATTAAATGTCGCGATCATGCGATCCATGTCCGGCTATACGTAGTGTCAACGATCGTTACGATTCAGGGTCGAGTTATGTAAAGAGACCATCTCTCGCTGTTGCTCCCATTCGATTTCATCGCTTCCGTCAGTTGCTAATGCCACTTGCGTCATCGTCGCATAAGCATTGACGGAGTGCAGGAGTCACCTGTCGCGTCCTCGACGCGACTCGTTATTATTATCGTTTCATCGCTTTTTGAAACGCGCTCGAGAATCAATTAAAATCACGCGACATCTCGGAGCGTCTACATATCGTTTCATTTCATATTACATGTTTGTGCGCTTTTTTACAACCAGATAAATGTAGAGATAAATGTATATTCAGAAAAAGGAAGCAACAGAGAGCACAGACGATATACGACTAACATAAATTAATATTTTCTTAGTTATTTTATTCAATTATAGTTTGATTAAATTTTAACTAGAATTTTTGTTACGAGACATTCCATTTGTACTCTCATTGTCAGTATTTCTCACTTGAGTTAGTATTCAACTCAATGCACTATGATTTTACCTCAATTGTGCTTGAATTTTGCTTAAATTAACTTTAGAGCATAATTCTACAAACATATATTTAAAACATTAAGTATAATTAGAAAATACAGTTTTTAAATCAGGTTTTTCAAAGTCTATAACTTTAAACATATCTTATGTTTTTTTTGCATTATATCTTGGAATTTTTGTATTATATTTTACTTGCTCGCTTGTGTGCTTAACAGAGTAATCATTCTTAAGGAGGTTTAATAAATTTGTTTATCGCTTTAGTCATCTATATTTACTTATAAATTATATTCTGAACAAGCAACAAATTTAAATTTCTGTTAGTTGATATACAGTTCAAGATCGCAAATTAATTTTCTCGATATGTCTTGATAGAATCGTACAATAAAAGTGAACAATCTTGCAATGAAATTTATGAATTTGTAGGATGGCAGGAGGCAGTGGCCGTGGACGTACCGATGCGGCACGTCGCCGTGGACGTGGGTAGAGACCTGCAGCTGGCTTGCGCCGACGAGAATGTCCTTTCCGAAGACTTGAATGCAAAAGTAATGTGGGTAAGAGAGGGACGAGAGGATGGGCAGATCGAGCGACTGAAGGTCGAGCGAAATGGCATGCTGTTGCTATTGAATGTTAGTGTGCATGACGCCGGCAATTATTCGTGCACTCGCCTGGACGGTGACCATGATGCTGTGAAAGCCAGAATCAACGTGGAAATCAGAAGTGCGTTTGCAAAATCGTTTGCAATATTGTTAATCAATCACCTACAACATATAGAAACATGTTAAAATTTTAATTTTTAAAGAGGCTTTTATTCGAGGTTTAAATTTATTCTGGAAAATTTAAGAGTAGATGAAGATTATAAATTTAGCGAAAAAATACATACGTGGTGTGGAAATATATTTTGAATTTTAAATTTTAGATATAGTACAAAAATTTGAAGATTGTCGAATAATATTTTACTTTTAAAGTAAGTATTTTCTCTAGATTTTATAATGATAGCTTTCTTCTATGTTTAGCACCTCCTCCAGCCTTGCACAATGTATGGGTTAAACCATCCACAATATTGGCTAACATTCTCTGGGAAGTGGCTGGAACTGGCGGTTATCCTATCATAGATTTCACTGCCGAATATCGTTTGAAACCAGCTGCAGGCGAGGAGCCGGAAGAGTGGAAACCTATTATTCCAACACACATTCCTCCAAATTCTGTAAATATTGCAAACTATTTGAAATAGTAGAATAGAAAAACAGGGATGGAAAACGTAACGCCGAGATAAGTCGAACATGACGGTTTATTTTTTTTAATTATAATTTTTACAACTCATACTATAGACAAATTTTATGTTTGTTTATATTTTATATTTATATTAAGAAATTAGAAGAAGGTATATGTATATAACGTTATGTAAGAATGAAAATTTGTGACAGCATTACAGAGTTATTCCATCTCCTGTAAATTAATTAGACTAAAACTAACGATTCTTTCTTATTATTATTTTAAAGAGACAAATAGACGTGTACCATTTGGTGCCAAACACTACGTACTCATTTCGAGTGTGGGCAACCAATCAGTTAGGAAGAGGAGAGATTGTGGAGGTCGAAGGTCATACACATTACAGCGTAGAAGAATTGGGTATTTTATTGCAATTACTCTATTATAATTATACCGCACGGTTATATTGTGTTATAAACATCTATTTACTGGGATAAAGTAAAATTTCAAATTTGATATATATCGTCATTCACGGTGCCACTCTAATTCTCATAAAAATAGAGAAGTTAAAAAAGAAGTATATATTGTTTGATAAATATTAATTTTAAAGAGTGACGATAGTTTTGGGATATTCTATGTATACATATATTGTATATATATATATATATATATATATATGTCTCTTAAAAATTATAAGAGATATATTTTCTCTTTTTTTTCTATTTAAACTCTTTTCTTGTACAGCATCTAAACTAAAAATTAACACATCTTTATATTATGCGACTAATTTTCAGAACTCGCCAGACATCTTTTAGCCGGCGTAGAGAATTTCGATACGCGCGTCTGGGTGGCAGCTGTAGGTATTGTGATGGGCACACTTATGATTCTTGGTTTAGGTACTTGTTACCTACTGTATCGCGAGTGCAAGACACCCTGTAAGCATTTCCTATCTGGTAACCATAACGTAAGAGCTTCTCCGCTTCTACTCTGTCTCTTTACTGCTGCTACTACTACTACTTACTTTCTTCCGCTGGTGATGATCGTAACGTTCATGGCTCATTCCTCTGAGAAGCACGATTCTCTCAGAGGAGATTGTTCTACCTTTCATAGAAGCCTTCGCGCAAGTTAGCTGAAGAACTATTTACTCATCACTATTCACTTAACAAAGATATTAGTAATCTTAGGCTAGCTGACTCTATGGCTCTGATCTTTAGCTTTTTCTCTATTACGCGACACACACAGCCATGTTCTTCTAAATTATCTAGTACTTTTATATAATAATCTCGTTTCTATATATTTTTAAGCACTATTCATTAGGTTTAGCATCTGACAAGTATGACAAGCATTTAAACGAATCTTCTCATCAATTATATATTAATACTTTTTGAACCGCCGCACCGAACGCTGAAAATGAGCACTCAAGTATTAACTCATTTAACATTTTCTGTATCTCTTATACGATATAATAGCACTCATTGGAATGAAATCTTGAACTTTTCGATTGAATTTTTCTCGCCGCAGATTTACTTGTCTGGTTACTAACTCTTTTACGAATATATAAATATTTTCTCTCGCTCCTATTTCGATTAGATGTTACTTGTACCGTATAATGTTAATGAGGTACTAATAATGCCTGCTGAATAATAATCTAGTGCAATGAAAATATTACAATAGTCATAGAGAGCTATTTTATAATTTAGTTGAGTAACCGATAAGACTGATCTTCGGCAATATCGAGGTAGGTAGGTCAAGGGTAGCACGTTTATTTGTCAGGCAAACGATTGGCATCAGAGTATCGCATTAATCAAAAATTGTCGATTGTCGTGATAATTGGAAATGATGTGACAAGTACATATATACGATAATTTGCGAGATATGTTTTTCCTGATACCTGACAAAGAAAAATCGGTGAAGGGAGAGGGTAGAAGCTAATGAGGTCCGTGGCCCAGGCCAATGAAAATTAATCTCCGTTCCGAAATTGCAGCGCAGCTGGAGGAGCAGGAGGTGATTGAACTCGTGCCCAACATCATTCTGAATCCGGGATTTTTCGACGAGCGCACCGAGCACGTACCGCAGGACGAGAACTTCAACAATCAGACGACCACCCGCCTCAACAACAACAGCGTTGTGCAACCTAGACGGCTTTAGCGTTGTTTTTTGTTTAGCTTAGACTCGCTCCGTTCTAAAGTAAGTAAATTGGACGCAGTTTTCCACGTCGTCGTTTCAAACGTAAGCAACCGAATTTATCGAAAAGGTCTCGAGTTTGTTTAAAAAAAATAAAAAAAATAAAAAGAAAAAAGAGAAAGAAGTAATAATGATCGACGAAGTCGATTAGCACTAAAATGCAAGACTATATTTAGCGATTTAACGGCAAAAGGAGAATACGCTTCGAGCGGAATTTCGAAAGTCACTTTGAGCTTATCAAAAGCTTCGAGCGACCCGCTAGTTTTCTCGACCTTTTCGTTATAATCGGGGATCGAACAAAAAAGTCAGTTTTTATTCTAAAATGCTTTTCGTAAAAGAATTTCTGCAATGCGATTTTCTTCTAAGATATTCGCAGAAAATTGTCGTTATTCTTGGAAGATAAAGGAGTAGATAAGTTAGCCTGTTATATACGTTCTGCTTTATAAAGGAGATGAAACTTAAATAATTTTTTTATATGTATAATAATCGAAAGAAA